ATTATATGTTTTATATATAAATATATAATATATATGTTACATTATATATATAGTATTTTTTATACCAATTGATAACTTGCAAGATATGTGTGTAGTATGTATCTTGGCATAAAGACTTGATCATCTGCTTATTATGGGATTCAACAAATAGTCTTGGCTTTATTCAAGGTATTGAAGACTAGAGTGCATGCAGGCACTGTAAGGAATAAGATACAAAGCTGAATTCAGGGAAAAACAATAAGCTGAAGTATATGAAAGTCTAATTTAAAACCCAATCATAATTTGAATTGTCTATGACTGTTACTTTTTGTTAAGTCTGCTTTTTAGCTTTGTTAGAGAATACACTATTAACCAGCGATCTTATTTCACTGTAGCAATGGCTTTTTGGGGGGATGGATAAAAACTGCTGTGTATTTTGCACTGTCAAACTAGTGGTCATCTGGTGCAAAGATTAGAAATTGAAATGTCCACTAGGTCACTTGTTAATGGCATCTTGACAGCTGATGTAAGATTCCTCCCTCATAACAGAAACAAGAGTGAGTAACGAGGTGCATGTTGTGACTTCTCCAAGGAAGCGACATTTCAAGTAATAACAGCTTAGAAACTCCGGTGTGTTGTCCAGGCAGATGCTTCCCTTACACAGCAGGCTTGTCTACTTGAGAATGCTGCGTTCACGCTTATAAGAGGCCAATTTTATTGTTGAGTTTTGCCAGACCTGTAAATCTCAGGCTTGAGGTTTGTTACCAGCTGAATTTCAGTTCCTCAATCTGTTTGGACAGCCTTACCAGCCTGTAGCTACTTTTGGCAGAAGGCTGAGGACTAGAGTGTTGCACGCTGAATTCTGCACCTCTGATAGAGGTAGGTGGTCGGTGGATGCCAGCTGATTTGAGCTTTATTTTGCATTTTCAAACAGCAGAAGCAAAAGGGAGAGATAATGCTGGAATTTGGTTCGCAGTCAACGGTTTGTTTGGGTTAAAGCATTTGGGTTACGGTGAGTAAATGGTGCAGTGATTTGTTGTTAGTTTTTCCTAGACCTGCATAAATAAGTGGAGGACTATCATGAGTTTGCCAAAGTGCCTTGACATCAATTTTTAGGATTGAGTCTAGTAGGCAACCAATGCCAAGGTCAGAATTGTGATTTGTGCATAGGGGCTGTGGGAACAGGCCTTCACCTGAAGCGTTGGTGACAGATAGTATTGTGTGTAAAAGACTGTGGTAGTTTAACTCAGGGTTAACAATGGGTTAATCTGAACTAGGGTTCAGATTCAAGTTTGGATCAGGATTCAGATTAGGGTTGACATATATTCAGAGTGAAGATTCAACAGTGTTTAATGTGAATTATTCTCCAAATGACAATTCAGCCTTAGTGTTCCATATCAAAGCACACAAGCTCTATACTTGTCTGTGCAGCTCTTCTAAAACTAAACAATTGTGATGGTTTCACTGGGCCAGCACTGGGCTGCAGCCAAACACAGCCGCTCGCTCACTCCCCCCTCCCCAGGGAAAGGGGAGGGAATTGGGGGGCGAGAGTAAGGAGACTCAGAGGTTGAGGTAAGAACAATTTAATAACTGAAATAAAACTTTAAATAATACTGATATTAAAATAGTAATGATGATGATGATAGTAATAAAATATGCAGATGAGTGATGCACAGTGCAGTTGCTCACCACCCGCTGACCAAGCCCGGCCCGTTCCCAGGTAACGATCCCGGAGGAGCGACAATCCCGAACCAAAACCACAATCCCAGAAGAGCCAGAGCCCGAGTGAGAGACAGAGAGAGCAAGAGAGGGAGGGACCCTCATTAATATACTGACCACGATGGGATATGATCTGGAATATCCCATTGGCAGAGCCAAATCTCAGTTTAGTTATTAATTTTAATATTCCTCACCCCCCTTAGATCTTGCACTTGTAGACTAACAAAACACAAAGTCCTTCACTTCCAGCGACAAAAATGGAAACACTGGGATGTTCTCAGTGTTTCTCTCATAACCAATCCCAGGCTGAAACCAAAACACAGCGCTGTTCTAGCTACTAAAAAGAAACCCAGCTCTGTCCCAGCTGAAAACCAGGACAACAATAAATTTAACTCTTCAGGCATTACTGTGCCTGGTCCTTACTGTGGCTGTAGAGTAAGAATTCTTTGAACTTCAGAGTAAGATATCCAAGTACATTTATCACGGCTCGATTTACCTTGGTGAAGGATGCAGCTCTTACCTTGCAGCTTCACCTCCCTCCCGGCTCACTTGAAGCGCAGAGAGCCTGCTTGCACTGCCAGTCCAGAGCTCGGCGTTCACACCCTGGGTTTACCATACCACCTTGTGCAGAATTTGGCTGCTTCTCTCTGTTTTCCCAAACTTCAGCCTTGCCCTCCTTACAGATTAGGAACCTGCTGCTGTCTGCGAACTAAGAATAAGGAGTTCCATCAGAAGACACCAGCCTTAAGTATGTTTCTCTGGTTCTGGGGAATTATCACAGTAATTCTGACTCTCTCATCTCTCCTTCCTCTAACCTTAACCCTAGACTAGGCACCTTCTGTGGTTGGAAGGATTTAGAGGAACTAGTTATATTGAAGTGTTCTATTTAAAGAACACATACAGATCTGGGGGTTGTTATTGTTGCATACAAATAGTAGAATGTATCTATCCTAAAATACTATAAGATTACATATTTAACTTTTTGTTTTGTTTTTTTGGGTTTTCTTTTTAAGGATCTACGTGAGAATGACCATGATCTTCTGTCTCTTAAACTTTATATCTGGATGTCAAAGGAGCTGTAATTTGGAGACTACTGAATATCCTCCTCCGTTATGAGAAGACATTCACCAACAGTCTGGAAGAAGATTTATCTGAGAAGATCAAAGAGCATGGAATCCTTTAATAAAACAGAAAACATTTAAAATTTCAGAAGCTTTTGATTATCTGTATCTTAAAAAAAATAAACATGAACCGTTACACAATCATGAAACAACTAGGTGATGGCACCTATGGCAGCGTGTTGATGGGGAAGAGCAACGAGTCAGGAGAACTCGTGGCTATCAAAAGGTATGGAGCACCTAAATTCAGTAAAGGTACTTGCAAAAGCTTAAAGATTTTCACTTTTAACTTTATTGTTGTCTGCCATCTGTGTAGAATAGGAAAAAAAGGTATTTTTAAGGAAATTAACATAACAAAATTATTTTTTTTAATTATGATGCTTAACAAGGCGATTTTGGGTCAGGCTTCAGCTAACATTGAGATACATGTTTGTATAAATTATTGATATATCTTGGCTTATAAAATTGCATGCTGCTTTTGGTCAGTTTCAACATGCTTCCTTTTAAAAATGTTAGGCTAACACCAAAGGCAAAACAAAATTGAATTTGCAATTTATTAATTGGGGAGTGTGTTTATTTACATGAATTGTAAGAATACCCATCTTAATGGGTAGATTTGAAATACCTCCCCCCAATCCCAAATCTTTTGAGGTACTGCATTAAGCTTCAGGTATTACTACAATGATAAGTACCAGGTAACAATCTGGCTGGGTAAATAAAGGCTGTCTCCTTGGATCTAATGGTGTTGTGCTTAATCATCAGTGTTGTCATACATGCCTGAAAAGATTATTACGAAACAATTGTCCTAGAGGAGTGGGGGAGTTCCCCTCGTGTTCCTGTAGAATTGCAAGCAGGATGCAAAACTAAGTTGAAATACCAGAAACTATGTTGCTGAGATTTTTTTTTTTTTTTTCCATTTATGGATTCCTTGTAGAAAGATAACTGTAATATAATTGACTGGCTTTTGTTATAAGAATTTCAGATTTCTCTATACACTACTAATACTGTTACCTAATTTAATAATATTAATCTAAACAAAAAAAAAAACAACAAAAAAACAACAAACCTGCAATCAGTTATTTTTGTTATTTTTAGTGAAAAGGAACCACATTTTGAGAGAAGTGTTTTTCATTCTCATTATTTTAAGATTTGGAATTCTTTTGTGTGATTTTTTTTTTTTTTTTTTTTTTTTAAGTTTGGGATTCGAGAGGCGACAGTTTTGGTTGAAGATGTGTTTATTTTAAATTGAAATCTTGGGTTTAAATTGCTTCACTCGAGGCACTAGAACTTTTCAGAAGCACAGCAAATAGCATGACGTTCACAACGCTGTCCCAAGATCTAAGCAACACCCAATATCCATGTTTGTATCTGTGCAAGGCTTCCAAATAATGTATGACACTTATATTTAACAATTTCTTTAGAGGATATTGTATATACATGTGAGTATTGCTTGAAAAAATGAAACTATTTTTATTTGGCATTTAATACCTTGGAACAGGTTTGTAAAAATGACTGATCGAGTTAGATTCTTATATTACAAGCAGTCCAGATAATTTACAGATTTCAAAAACATAAATTTAAAAAATAGAATATGCAACTTAGGCACAAAGAGGTGATTTTTCTGGTTTGAAATTTCCATGTTTTATGTGCACTGTCACTGTTGCTTTCCTCGTTACTAAGAACACAATTCAAATTATACAAAGGGATTTTGTGTCCCCGATGTTTTTATAAATACCTTGGAGTATCATGGTCTCTTTGGCTAACTACTCCTCTAAAAATATGCTTGCAGTGATTAATCATCAAAAACTGAAATTTCTAGCAATTCTATGAGTTGAGTTTGTTTTTAGTTACCTTGCTGAATGGGTATTCTAGAATGTTTTAAATTGAGCTCAAAATACAGCTAATGTTTTAGGTTTTTTGTTCTAAAAACATTCTGTACTGTTCACTGAAAATACTTTATCTTGGCCTTGTATTTCAGAATGAAAAGGAAGTTCTATTCATGGGATGAATGTATGAATTTGAGAGAAGTCAAGGTAAGGTGGTGAACATACCATAACCTTTAAAAATAAATGTCTGCTTAGGTTTGCCTGAAGGAAAAGGGCATCTGCAGTGTCCAAGCATAAAGCCAAACTCTGTGAACTCTCTACATGGGGGTGACAGATCCCACAAAACCCTGGGCTGCTGGCACTCCTGGAGCTCCTGCTGCTTTGTGGAATATCCCACTGTTCTCAAGTGGTGGCCATGTCTCATAGCCAAGCCTCTTGCCTTTGAGAGAAGATAAAGAAATTGATTTTGTGTGTGTTTGTGTTTTACTGTCCTGCTCTTCCATTTTACTGGTAGATCTCTAGGTATCTACCCAGTCATCGTATCTTGTACTTGGGGCATTTGTAGAAAGCACTGGGAGTTTTGGCCAGCCGAGTGATAGAGTAACACTTGAAAACCTGGGCTTAAATTCCAAGTCATCCCTTGTTTTGGGCATATGACTTTCTGTATATACAAAACTCCCTAGCAAAGGAGTTGGCTATCCATAATTTACATTTAACTTATTGGAGGTTGCAGGTTATCAGTGTCTCCAAAAAGAACACCTGTAAGAGAATCCTTGTTCATGAAAATTTCATAACGAAAAGAAAAAATTGCTGGGTTTTATTCAGTTCTGTGAGCAAGAGCTGTTACAGCTTCTGAACTGTCTTTCATTGTAGGGAATTAGGTTTTTGTGTTCATCTTCACTTCAGCTGTGATGTAATCCCTAGAAATAGAAGTTTTTAAACTACTATTAATATTGTTGCTTCTTTTATTTTGAAATTAATTTAAAATGTTATTTTGTTGTTGTTTGAAACAGAGATTAGAAGATAAATACAATCAGATGGACTTGTTTTGTAAATTCCATGGTAGAAACTTTTGCATGTTAAAAACTCAGTTCAGATAAGGAATCAAAGTCACTGCCGAGTTATCTGAAGCCGTATTTTGCTCTTTTACAGTCTCTGAAGAAACTAAATCATGCCAATGTAATAAAATTGAAAGAAGTCATACGAGAAAACGACCACCTTTATTTTATATTTGAATACATGAAGGAAAACCTGTATCAGTTAATGAAGGACAGGTATGTCTTTTGCTCTGAACAAATAGTGTGCTATCATGCTTTATTTCATGACTCTCAGGCTATCTTGAAAAACACATTGGAATTTCTGGTTTTGGCTCTTCTTGCAGCCCCACTGATGTGAACAGGAGTTGCTGCACCTGCTTACCTGAGGGTAGAATTCTGCATTGCTCTGCGTTACAATACTGCATATTGTAATGCTTTTGGAAATAAGAGTTTATTCAGTTGTTAACATGATAGTTTGCATGTCTTTGGTGTGTAGAGCCATGAGAGAAATTCCAAATACTTCTTTTCTTTATTAGCCTTCACTGTAATGTATGAAGGATTGGATAAACACATTCTGCTTTTACTCAAGGATTTGGCTTAAGGTGGGGATGGTCATCTGCACGTACATGCATGCATGCTCCCAAGAAAGACCTATAATATGGACTAACTGGGTGATGTTGCAATCCTGAACAAACAGCACATAGCAAGGCTGGCAAGGTGGACTTTGGAATAGGACCTGCCTTTTCAATAACATTTTTCTCTGCTCAATTCTTTTTCCTTTAATGTGTGGTTCCTTCAGACATGGTCATGCACCTTTATCTCCTGATGTGCAAAGCTCTTAGGTTCACACCCTGAGATAGCTGCTGGTGCTATTAGCACAGTGTTACCCTACAGCTGAGAAGCATCGCTGTCAATCAGGGTTCCCTTAGGGGCACCACTGGGTAACACACCTACTCCAGTGCTACCCTGTGTGGTCTCTTTCTTGCTACATTACTGTGCATTCCATGTTCATCTGGTCCAGCACACAGCTGGCCAACCAGCTTCTACGGAGAGGTAGGATTGTGAACCTCTCTGCACAGAAGTCCCCCTGTAGCACTTGAAAGTGAGTGAAATTAAGGCCTGGCAGCAAGCAAGTTTTGAGATCAGAGCTAGTTGCATCTGTTTTCCTTTGTGTGCAAGGCTTGATGGGTCTGTTTTCATCTGTTCATGTTGTGTTGTGCAAAATTAAGATATATGTATGTTATGAAAATGCATTATTTTTTTTTAATTATGTGAAGTTGTTAAATCTGTTTCTTCACAGAAACAAGTTGTTCCCCGAGTCAGTCATCAGAAACATGATGTATCAGATATTACAAGGGCTAGCTTTTATCCATAAACACGGTAGGTTCCGTACTAGAGCTTAACAGCACTTTTTTAGAAAATAAGATAGTGCACAGTAATAATAAAAATATCTAGCAAATACTATTCATTATCTTTAATAAAAAATATTCCTACCTGCTTCAAGTATTGGGCATTTTTAAACCATACCTGAAGTTATGCATTGTTTTTCTATACTCAGATATTAATCTTTCTTTTTGAAAGCAGTGGATATTGTTCATATATTGTTCAGTACTTTTTTTTTTTCAAAACTAGATGCCAGATGAATAAACAAAACAAAGAAACCTGTATGCTGTGCTATACTGTGCATTTCTTTTTCCTCACAAAGATCTTTTTAAGGAGCATGGATACTTTACAGATGGCAGTTTCTCCTGCTTGAGATACTATAATATGGTGCCCTATGTCTATAAAAAATTAAGATAATTTGTTCACTAAGAAATTCAGTCTTTTTATCAAATATAATCTGGATTTAAATATTTTAAGAGATGTGATTTTCTAGCAATTATAAGCAGAGTCTAAAGAAGAGGTGTAGTGTGCTCACAACAACAACAAAAAGTTTCACAGCATTTATGAAACTTTTGATTCTCATGTTTAATATCTGCCTGCAAACTGCATTCTGAAATACTGGTATTAAAGGTATAAAGGTATTAAGCTCCTTTGCATTTAAAAAAACTAGTAATTTACTCTCTTGCTCAACTCTTATTTAGTACTTGTCCTTCACTTCACATTGGTATTCTTAAAGCTTTCCAAAGAGAATAAAATATTAGCTGAAAATTAAATAAGAAACAATGTTCCTAGTGATCTCTGATTGGCTTTTATATACCCTGGTGAGGCCTCTTGATGGATTCAAATAAATAATCAGTTCTCTTCAGTACTATCACATACCCAGAAATTGCTGTTTCATGTCTTTCTGATCAAGATCATATACAGTTCTCTCATTATTAGCATCCTTTTTACGTTCCTCATTTCTACATGAGATAAATGAGACAATGAGAATTTATGAAAAACTGCCAATTCTATGTTACAGTATTAATATTTTGTTTTGACAAAATAGTAGTGTTTGGGAATGGCAGGTATGATAAATTTGAACATTTATATCTCGCTCCAATAATTTCAGCCCGTTGCTTACAGCGGTTGTTAGTTTCTGCATGCAGAAATGGAATGCTTTATTGTAGCAAGTGAATTTAGGATTTCTTTCCTCAGCAACTTAACCACTCTCCAGGTGCTCCAGCCAACAGTAACCATTAAAGAAACTTTATGTGCCTGCATTACTAATATTAGCATTCCTGAGCAAAATTTTGATATCTTTTAAATGTCTGCATCTTCAACTTGCTGTCACAATGATAAGCAAACTAATTAAAAATAGTTCAAGGAATTTTATAAACCAGAGTGTCCAATGCTCAGTTTTCCATTATACAAAGCTGATAAAACAGTTACAGTTTTTGCAAAAGGTTTATTTCTAAAATTGGTTTGTTATTTGATATTGTTGCAATAGCAAATTCATTTTCCTTAGTGTGTTAATGACAGTTTACATTTGTTAATTTAACAACATTTGATGTAACAATCACTAGAGGGAAAATGTCTGTGTTTATTAGGGGAGGGTTACCATTTATTTATTTTGAATTAAAAACTATATTCTTCTAAAACATCCCAAAGTAAATTTTGGGTGACAGTATTACAGGTTGCTGTTTAAGAAGTGACAATGCAATTATTTGCCATTCTTTTCTGTCTGGTCTTCTATAGGATTTTTTCATAGAGATATGAAGCCTGAAAACCTTCTCTGTATTGGGCCAGAACTTGTGAAAATAGCAGATTTTGGTTTGGCTAGAGAACTAAGATCTCAGCCACCATATACAGATTATGTTTCTACCAGGTGGTAAGTGTATTAAGAAGTTAATACATGTTCTTAACTAACTACCTTTCTCTGCTTACCATTTTGATATATCTATTGTTTCTTTGCAACTATATAGGTACCGAGCTCCTGAAGTTTTGCTAAGATCATCTATTTATAGCTCACCTATTGATATGTGGGCAGTTGGCAGCATAATGGCTGAATTATACACGCTAAGACCTCTTTTCCCAGGCACAAGTGAAGTAGATGAAATCTTCAAAATTTGCCAAGTATTAGGGACGCCAAAGAAGGTAAGACTTTTCTAAAAATTCACACAATAGTATTTTAAAAAAAGAAGTTAAATAAAATTATTATAAAACATTGAATGTTATCTCTCTTTCAGAACATATATATAAATTATTGTTTTAGTCAGTTTCCAGCAGACTTAAGGTTTTCTCAACCATATTTCTTTTAAGCTTCCATTAAGGTATGTAATGCTAAGATTTAGTTGTGTATTAGCATCCGTTGTATATTGTACCACTATGAGCAGCCTTCCTCTCCTCTGATGAAAGCCAGATAAAATTGTTTAATTTAGTTATTTAAGAAAGAAAATCAGAAGACTCCTGGGATTTCACTTTGTCACAGCTGTTTTGCTTTCCTTTCCTGAAAGTGTAATTCTTCAAGGCTGGTATCCAGAATTTGGAGCTTATAGAAGATACCATAAATAAGACTGTTGTGGTTTAACCCCAGCCAGTAACTAAGCACCACATAGCCACTTCCTCACTCCCCCACACTGAGATGGGGGAGAGAATAAAACTGAGAAAATTGGAGGGTTGAGATAAAGACAATTTAACAGGTAAAGCAAAAGCTGCGAGCACAAGCAAAGCAAAACAAGGAATTCATTCACCACTTCCCATGGGCAGGCAGGTGCTCAGCCATCTCCAGGAACCCAGGGCTCCATCACACCTAACGGTGACTTGGGAAGACAACACCATCACTCAAACATCCACCCACCTCTTCCTCCTTCTTCCCCAGCTTTTATTGCCGAGGATGATGTCGTATGGGATGGAACATCCCTTTGGTCAGTTGGGACCAGCTGTCCCAGCTGTGAACCCTCCCAACTTCTTGTGCACCCCCCGCCAAGACCAGCACAAAGACAAATTATGCTTTTCTTATTTTTAAAGTATAAAGCAAGCATTTGATCTCAAACACAGATCTCTCATAAAATATTATTAGCGATAAAAAGCAATGGAGGAAAAATGTGCAGTATTTTAGAGAGGAAACAGTTATTTTCAGTTATTTTCTGGAAGGGCTAAATACTACTTAAAATTACAAAGTTTGAGTAGTGCATATAAAAATGTATTCAATTATATTTACCTCATTTTAAAAAGTTGTTTTAGCAAATGGATATGTGAACATGCAAGAAAATAATAAGTTTATGTTCAAAATTTTGAATAAACTAAAACAAAAGACTATATAATATAAATATTTTTTGGAGAATAAGAGATGTCAGATGTGTATTAGGAACTTTATGGGCACAAAGGGAACTTTGTGAAGTAACTGACTGAACACAATCTCTAGATCTGAAAAACCTAAGGGTGGGAGTGAAAAGCATCAATTTCATTGGTGTTCTACTGACATAAAATAAAGCATAATTCTTGTCCTGTAAAGGAGCTGTTATCAATAAAGAAGTGAGGAACAGAAAACTTAAAACAGAAATAGATTAATCTTAGCTAGGGACATGCAGAGCTTGAAGTGGTGGGAAAATTTCCAAGAGAACATACTGAGAAACAGGTGCAAACCCGTGAGAGAGCAGAGAGTAAAAGGTCAGAGTGTGGAGAGTTATAGATGGGACATTATGGAAGTGAAAATTGCTGTGATGAGTAAAACAGTGCTTGCCATGGTAAGTGTGCATCAGAAATTATCTATAATATGAGCAGTATTTTAAGACTTGAGTCTTCAAAAGCAGATGTTAAGTTTCTTAAAGCAGGTCACAAGCTTAGCATAGTAAGAAGAACATTTTGGGGTATATTAATATCTGTGAAAGAGAGCAACATACTAGCTTCTGGAACATTGTCAGTGTATAGCATACACAAGTTCTGGAAGTGCAGGGAGATCAGAGAGAGATTTTCACTGTGTGTAGTAGCAGAGCAGTGCTGAGCTGACTGCTGTGGTTTTTCTCTAACCTTGGAAGTAGTTGAGCAGAAGCAAATCATGACTGTGCACACTGACTGATTGCTTGGGAAGGCAGGGAGCATTACCAGCTGAGTATTTCAGAGAAAACTGTAGCCTCTTCTAAAGACCCTACAGGTTAGAAACACTGTAAGTCAGCCCTCTAGGATCAGGAAGCTGTAATTAGTTCCTTTGTGCCCTTGTCATCTGCTGAACAGACTTGGGAATTTTATCTCCTCCTCCAACAGTGCTAAGGCATTCTTTAGGGAGATCACTGTTTAACAAGAGTACTGAAATGTTATTACAGGAATTATCACAACAAATGATGCCTCTGTTACAAGTGAAGTACTGTTCTGCATTCTGAAAAACATAAGCAGTTATTTTAATAGTCTGGTTTTGCAGATAGTTTTACAAATAATATTTTTTTCAGACATACGTTTTCATTTATTCCATTATCTTCCAGTAATTAACAGGAATTATGCCCAGAAGCTAGATTCATTCCAATTTGCCTTCCTTTTAGTCCATAGTACCATACTAATGACTTCAGTGAGTTTGGATTTTTTAAATAGTGACAGGCAACTATTTTGCTTTATTTTATAAATGAAGTTGCTTTATTTATGAAATGTTGCTTTATTTATTTTATAAATAAAGCAGTAAGTTGCACCATTCGCATACTGACAGTGATGGTGCACATGTATGTCAATTTAATGAAAAAGCTGATGACAATCTGAAAGGCTGAGATTGATGAAATGCATTTTCATTAGTTGAAGGTTGGCAATGGCATTGTAAATAATTCTAAATTATTTTTTTTTTTTATAAATCAAAATGTATTATTCATTTTTGCACTTGTACTATTTTCACCCTGTCCCTGTACTGCACCAGTTCAACATGCAGCCCTTGCTATTTCGTTCTAAACTGTTCCATTTTCACAACCTCTGGCAGGCAGAACATCACCAACTCCAATAAAGGAGGGAGATGCAGCAGAGGAGGAAAGAGTCTATCTGCGTTAATGTAAATTAACAAATTATTATTTGAGGTGGAATAGGAAGTCACCTGAAGTCTTGAGACTTACTTTAACCAGACTTGGTTTATAATTATATTTGAGTTTGTTTATTACCATAGATTGTGTTAACAGAGCTAAAACTGTTGTACATAAAAAGATGAGTAATAGCTAACGTGATCTCTTAAGATCAAATTCTATCAAATCAACCCAATTTGCTTCTGTAGCAGTGTAACAAGCTTTGTGGATGGAAGAGAAGCACTAATATCATACACTGTCTTCAGTAAGGTTTTGGACACTGTCCCTCGTAACATTCTCATCAGCATATTTATATAAACAAACTGCATGATAAGTGTGTACCTGTCTTGAAAGCCTTGTTCAGAGAGTAAGCTTTACTGGTCCGCATTCAACATGAAAGATGGATTGAAGAGGACCCTGGAGTGGTTCTGCATCTGATGAAATTTTTAAAATTGTGTTAAAGGCCTTCTGTTGGAATAGATTTTCCTGTTAAGTTGGTAGATAGCAGGTTGGGAAGGATTGAGTCTGTTAGAAGATAAAATTCAGAGTTTCTTATAAAATTAGAGATGTAGCTTTTAAAAAATTTCTTTAACAGTGTGTAGGGTGCTGTACTTAGGCAGGAATAATCAGCCACATAAATATCTGGTGATAACTCTCCAGCTAACATATCTGAAGAAGAGGATGTGGGACCTATATAGTGCATTGTATGTCAACGGTATTTTGCTGCAACAAAGACAAATACCATACCATTGTATTAAGAAAGTATTGTCCACTGATGTGTGAACTGATCTTTCTGTTCCACTTGCTATATTATATCCAGTTTAAAGTTTTGCTTTTCAAGAGAGAAAAATCAGAGTCCAGAGAAGAAGAAAAACTGAAAAAGACTGGACCCAGGAATTAAACTGTTCAGGTTTCTTTAGCCTATACAAAGGAAGACTGGGAGAAAGGAGAAGAAATATGCCTTGTAATATATAAAAAGGCTGTTCTAGAGAGAAGAAATAAATAGTCCTTGGTACCCACAGATGATAGCACACTCAGCAATGGTCTTTTATTGTCATAAGAGAAACCTACATTTTTCTAATCTTGAGGAGAATTAAGATCTGGAATACACTGTTTAGAGCAGTTGTGGAGTGCCAGAAATTGGAAACTTTTTGAGACTAATACCTGTCAGGAAGTGACCAGGGCATGGACTGGATGATCTCTTGAAGTCTTTGATAATCCTGTGGTTCTGTATTCAAACAATGCAATTATCAAGGAACAAAGGACTTCGCTGTTTACTTTTGGAAAGTTAAACACTCAAAAAAAAACCCCAAAAAAGAAAAGAAAAAGTTTCATTTGGTGGTCATGGTGCTTTTCTGTTTCAATAGCGTCTAGTTGTAATTTAATCATTGACTATCTTAATGGTAGAATCAGTGGTATATGGTGTAGGCTACCCCATGGTTACAGAACCATGGTGTGCTGAGTGGAAGGGCCTCACCTCTACTATTCCCATGGAGAAGGTATGTTGCAGTTGTCTGTTTGAGCTCATTTCTGTGGTAGATGGGATGTTCGGTACTGCTCCTGGTACTGCTGCACTCTCTTCTTCAGATAGAATATGTCCAAGTGTGGTATCCACAATGATGGTCCCACCTTCACCTACAGGAGAGCTTGAGAAGGCCTGCCGTGGGACACTGGTGCTGCATGCACAGGTGGTGTAACAACTGTAATGGGGAAAAAAAGTAGGAATTCCTGTGTTCCACTATATAGGCAGGAGCTATGCAGACCACGTGCAGGCCAAGCTGCATAAAATTAAATCTGATCTAATACTTCAAAGATATATAGTCTTTGTTCTCTTTTGGTACTCATTTTTCTTTCCTTTAAAACAGAGTGACTGGCCAGAAGGATACCACCTTGCTTCTGCCATGAATTTCCGTTTCCCACAATGTGTCCCTATAAGCCTAAAAACTCTCATCCCAAATGCAAGCAATGAAGCAATACAGCTCATGAGTGATATGCTGAATTGGAATCCAAAGAAGAGACCTACAGCGAGTCAGGTCTGAGCACCTCCATGATTAAGACTGATTTTTTTTTTGCATTTTTAATGCATTTTAATTTTGCATTAAAAAATTGTAGATACAGAAACCAACTGGTTGTCATAATACTGATGGGCAGAGAAATGTCTGCTCATTTTGACCACTTTGCTGGTAATGAGACTGAGGAGTTAGGAGAGAAAGTTCTAAATCTGGCTCTGCAGACTTCATAAACTCTTTAGTTATTTGTGCAGTGTTGTCTCCTGTACTGGCATATTCTAAAACTTCCTCTGTACAGGACAGAGAAAAATCTGAGCTGGAAGTTCCTTGAATTGTAAGGATCTTCTGCCACCTTCTTTTTCCTCCCCCATCTGTACAAAGAGGGATACTGAAAAGTAAGCTTTGCTTTTTGTGAAGCTGCAGGTGGAATGTAGTATGGAAGACCTAAGGGTTATTTTTACTTGGAGATGGGATGTAAATTATGCTAAGTGATAAGGAAAGAACTTTGTGAAGGACATACCAATAGGTCACAAAGGTCACAGTTTTTCTCCAAGTTAAGTTTTAAAAATATATTTCAAGTACCAAAGTTGGTTACATTCTACTGATCTTTTAAAAAATGTTTAATTTTTTTTTTTTAGTATTCATACCTAATGCAATCCTATTTAGAAGGTATAAAAGGGGAACACAGCTGGGAAATAAAAAGGACATACTGTGAGCTATCCTATGTGGATGTAATGTAAGTGATTCAGAAGTGGTGCAGCAGATGGTACCAAGCAGAGCAACCATTTCTCTCCACTTTATATAAAGCATATCTATTGTTACAGTCACTGAGATCTAACTGTAGCCTGGTGCTATATATAACTCTACACAGAATACTGTGTTGTGCTTTATGGAAGCAAATAACCAGCTTTTGCCCAAGTGAGTTGTCAAGGAAGCAGCTTCAGCAGTTGTGTAATCCACAGCCAAAAGGGAGAGTTTAAAGCATATACATGGAAATATGTACAAAGGCAGCAATTCTCCAGTGCAGCTGAGGCAAAACATCTCTGAGAGAACTAACAAAGAGTAGGATCCTACCCAGAAGGAGTAGCAAAGTGAGTTGTTTTGACATAGGAGGAGCTGTGTTAGTAAGGTATGTCCATGCTGTGTGTCTAGCAGTGGACATGAAGAGGTCAGAGAAGAAGAATTAAATACACATCTGCCTGAAGACAGACACTATAGTTTCCTAATAAACACCAAGAAGGCACAGCAAGCACAGTGAATGAACTTCAAAGCAAAATAAAACCAGGGAAAGCTGGTGATAAGAAAATAAAGGAGAAACTTTGTTTGTTAACATCCTCTAATTGTAATACCCATATATTAATATTAAAAGGCAATCATCACACTTCTGGGTTTGTTTTTTTTTTGGTTTATATTAATTAAGAAAAAAACCAAACTCTTCATTGAGTTGCCAAAACATAGTTAGCAGTGGCAACATGTAATAAAGTATGTTGGAATAGGGGAGACTACTTGTCTACCTGTGCTGTTTTAAGATTGAAATGTTACTACATGAATATAGAATGGTGTTGAAAGTAAAATGCACACTCAAAACAGCCTCAAAACACAGGCTCCACAAAACCTAGAAGTAAAGGAGGGAAAGAAGGACACGACTGCTGTAATGTGTACAAGTGGATCCATCTTACTAAATTATATGATGGGAAGAGTTTAAAATACAGAACTGAGAGATATCAATACACACTGTTTACATATGATCTCATTATGCATCCATCGTGCATCTCTGCTGTAGAGCTTTCTCAAATGCTTCAGAAACCTGCTTAGATTCTTGATGAGGTTACCCAAGTCAACTTTTTCAAGTAAAATTATTATGTGTCTTCTTCTCCAGGCTTTGAAGTACCCTTACTTTCAAGTTGGCCAAGTTTTAGGACCTCCTCCGCAGTATCTGGAGAAGCAGACTCCTCTTAAACCAGTTCAGCCAGCAGAGCCAAAGCCAGCTTTACCTAAACTAGAATCTATATCCAAGCCAGAACCTCTCTCTTCACCTGATGCATCTGACAAAACACAGCCCCTGTCAAAGGTTAACCACCAGCCCCTCCAGCAAATCCAGTTGCCTCAGAATACAGCGAACCAGCAAGTACCAAAACAGCCGCAGCCACAGGCACAACCATTTTTTCCAACAATCAATAAAAACTCCTCACCAGTAAGTTGTCTTCAATAAATACTTGGGTGGTTTTATTAAAAGTTCATACTCTATTCAAGCAGGTGATCTCTTGAAGATTGTCATACTTTTTATTAGGTAGAAATACAGATAGATAATTAGGAGCTAATTAAGGATATAATTGGCCATTTACTGAAATTTTACAGCAAATCAGAAGAATAGATTTCTTGTAACAACAATGTATGTTCATTTATAACAGCCTTTGCTACATGCTTGTGCAGTAATGTAGTTATGACAGCAATTGTTTATTGACCTTTGAGATACCTCTCCTATGAAGACAGGCTGAGAGAGTTGGGGCTGTTCAGCCTGGAGGAGAGAAGGCTCCGGGGAGATCTTATAGTGGCCTCCCAGTACCTGAAGGGGGCCTACAAGAAAGCTGGGGAAGGACTTTTCATAAGGGCAGTTAATGACAAAACAAGGGGAAATGGGTTTAAACTGAAAGAGGGGAGGTTTAGATTAGATATTAGGAAGAAGTTCTTCACTGTGAGGTTGGTCAGACACTGGCCCAGGTTGCCCAAGGAAGTTGTGGATGCCCCCTCCCTGGAAGTGTTCAAGGCCAGGTTGGATGAGGCTTTGAGCAACCTGATCTAGTGGAAGGTGTCCCTGCTGATGGCAGGGGGGTTGGAACTGGATGATCTTTAAGGTCCCTTCCAATCCAAACCATTCTGTGATTCTATGATAATTCACCAAAATATCGTTAGTATACAGCAGAGAAGTGGAAAGGGAGAACTTCCCTTGCCTCAAGCAGGAAAATACCTGAGAAAGTTCATCCAATTCCTAAGCTTGTACGAATTTAACAAGTAAGATTTTTAGCAAGATGAATGTTCAACTTTGGTTTGCAATTTTCATTTTGCTTTCTACTTATGCTCACAGAACTACAATATAAAGTATGTTAAAAATAATAGGTATTCAGAAAATACTGGAAAGCGAACTAGACTCAGATGAAATGCCATTTTTAAAATTGAGAAATTTATTTGGAAGATAATATTAAGGAAAGGCCTGACTAACTTGTTTTATTTGCTGTATCTACTGTGGGGCCACAGCAATTGGCACTCCTAAAGCCTGAGCATGATCGCTGTGAACGTTCTGTACTGCTGTGCCCTACTTCTTGACAGTTCATCTACCACTGGTGAGAGCATGAGTTCAGCAAGATACCAGTAGTAGAGGCTGAGCACTGAACTGGGTCTGCAAATAGAACGTGAACTTCACTACTTCAGGTAGATTTCAGCAATTTAAGGATGACAGTCCAAAAGAGCTACGCTCAAAATAACCTGCTGGCATTATCGTTATGTTTTGTGCTTAAAATCATTCTGAGACTATGACCAAAATAGGCACAACACAATGGGAAAAATTCCCTCAAAGTTCTTAAGTGGTCGTCAGGAAGTGAACTAGATACAAAATATAAAATTTTAGAATTGAATTGAAGCATTTCTTCCCTATTTAAAATAGAAACAAGCAGCTAGTGGCCCTCAGAATGGTGCAGTAGGTCCTAAAAGCTGCAGAAGACGATGGGGTCAGACTTTGGTAAAGACTGTTGATAGCTGGGATGACTTGGATGACACCGAATTTGGAATGTCATGTTCAAAGAAGCCTAGCATTGCACCAGTAAAAGAAAAGAAAAACAAGGAATGTCTTTTTAGGTAAGTTCTATAATTATAAAATCACTATTTTTATTTTATTTTTATTTTTTTTTTTTTTTTAGTAAACAGTGCCCAGTAGGTTTATATATTGATTAAGACAAATCTGCTAAAATTTAAGTCACTAAAATCCTGCAAGAGTGCAAAGAGCTGTATGAGCAGACCAGCTTTGGGTGTGGTGGTGTTGATAAAGCACCAGTAATATCCAAAGTGAATCAGATTTGTTTTCAGGCACTGTATGGTTTAGGTGTTTGTTGTGTTATTAAGAAACGGTGTTTTACTAAAATCAGATATACTAACTTCCTTTCCTTTGGTGGTTAAGTTTGTAGTAAGTTCTGCCACAGTTATCCACATTTGCTTTTATTCTGTAGTGTTGGATACTTTTTTTTTTCTTCAAATTCCCAGGTCAAACTCTCAAGAGGTATGAGATTTGGCTGTTACTTTATGGGAATAAATCCTACTGATGAAAGCAGGATACAAGTAGAGCACTGTACTTTTCAGGGTAGGGTCTGCATATCGTATTCTGGGCTGGAGTTGTTGGTCACATTGTTTCAACATTTTGATTTTTTTTCAGTGTGCCAGAACCAAAAGCTTCATGCTATATCCAGCCAGGAGAGGAAAATAAGGTTCTGATGAAAAATGATGCTGGAAGATCAAATACATCAGCAAAACAGTACTATCTAAAACAATCAAGATACCTACCTGGTAAGGGTAAAATTCAATATATACGGAAAATACAAGCTGTGAACAATCGACATACACTACATTTAAACTTCAGATTTCACACTTGATAATTTCATTTTTCATAACCAGGCTAAATTTTCAAGTTTGGGACTAAATGCCTTTCCCAGAACATATTTCATCATCGTTGATACAGAAGTTCCTGGCTATGTAATCATGGGAGGGAACTCAACACTGTTTGTACACCATAAAACAACCAGGAACATATAAAACCCTCAGTAATATGAATCCAACATCTCTTGGATTCCTAGGAATATATTCTGATTGACTCATAAGTAAGTGTATATGAGGACTAAATAAACTCTCTCCCTATATAT